GCTCCCTTTGGTAAAGGCTTTTGGGTGAGGAATTGGGAGAGCCGGCTGACCTCCTTTCTGCTGCCTCCTCCTGGCTTGTGCAAGAGACCAAGGCCAAATAAATACAAATGGTGACGTTTCATTTCTCAGGTGAAAAGGACCTGTTGGGGATTCTTGAGCCCTGGGAGAAGTCTCTTCCCCTCCTGTTCCCCCTGGTCACCTCTTCTTCTCCTGCTCCTTCTCCTTCTTCTTCTTCTTCTCTCTCTCTCCATGCCATGTCTTTTATCTGTGCAAATTTCGACCGTCCTCCTCCTCCTCCTCAGGCTCTGTGCACCCATAATAGAGGTGATCTGGAGGTTCAGGCTTGAAACCTCTGCTGAGCTGCTGGGTGGATCTCCCAGGCCTCCCGGCGAGCTGTCGGTCTGTCTGTCCTACTTCGCAACTTGCGCCTAAATGTATTTGTGCTTTAATGCATCCATCGATAATATGGATTAATATTTATAAGCATTAAGTAAGTGTCTTCTGCTGGCTAAAACCAGCCCCATTTGTTTCTGTTCAGAATCTCCGTTTCTCCTGCTTTATTTTTGTCAGAAAACCAGGACGGTTTTCCACGGATATTCTGTGAGATTCGCCACACCTCCTGCGCGCCCTCCACGTCAGACTCCCCTTCCAGAACGGCTGTTTTTTTCCCCCCCTCTCTCTGCTTGCTTAGGGGCAATGAGGTGTTAATTGCAAACGATGTGGTCCCCCTTCCAGGGAGAAAAAACTCCAGGGCAGATTTTCCTAATCGGTAAAGGGGGGGATGGAGAAATGGGAGGATCCTGTCCTTGGTGCGTTTTGCCCACAACCTGATCAGTTTCATCTCCTGCCAGGGATTGCCCTTCGCTGGGAAGTCAAGCTGGTCCATTTCACTGCTTTCCTGGCTTTTACACAAGGGGCAGTGTGGCTAGAGTGTTGGCTTTGAGAGGTCTGGGTTCGAGTGTGCGCCCAACGGCAATGCTCGCGTAGGGCCTTGGGCCAGTTTCATGCACACTCACTCTCCCTGACCTACCTGGCAGGGCTGTTGAGGAGGAGGAGGCAGTGGCACCGCACACCTTGGTTTATTTAATTTATAGGCCCCCTTTCTCCCCATAAAGGAACCCATAAAGAAGCATATGTCACCCTGTGTTCACCAGGGGAAAAGGTGAGGTCTAAGCGTAACTAGCAGACGCATTGCGAGGGAATTCACTGTGTCGCCGTGTGGCAGGAAGAGCAACCAAGGGCTCTGTCGCATCTGAAGGATGACTGCGTTTTATTGGGCCAGAACATTCACGGGTCGAAGCCTGCCAAGCCGGCCCTGCCTCTGAGGAAGCCCAACTGTGGCTTGCAAAGGCTTCTGCCCCGTGAAATTGGTGAGCCTTTCAGCTGCTCCACCCTGGATGATTCGCTCCTTCTAATAAATGGAATAAACGCGGGCACAGGACGCTGCGTCATCCTTTCCTGAGCAGAGAGACGCAGAGGGGTTTGTGCAGCAGGAATGAGGGTCTGGGTGGGAGGAAAGGTTGCAGGGGGAGGAATCGGGCATAAGAAGCCTCCCCCCTGGTGAGGCTTCCCGAGATCAGTGGGGCGGCTGAAACCAGAGTCAGAGCTAGACAAAAAAGTTTTCCTTTTTCTGGGGTTTCTTTATTTTTCTTCTGTGTTTTTGTCCAGCTTTTCTCCAGCGTGGGATCTGCTCGCGTGGACCCCCCGGGGGCTGAGTTGTTCCATGCTGAGCCGCCGGCTTTGTGGGTTGGTGTCATTGGATGTCTTTCCTTATGGATATTTTTCTGTGGTTCAGTTTGTGCCTCTCTGTGTCCTGTGGACGGCCAAAAGTCTCCCCGTGCTGACCGGGGGGGGGAACGACTCCATGTGGACGAGGCCTTCGTTGCTAAAATAATCTAACAATAACAGCACAGCTGGAAAGGGACCCTATAGATCATCCAGTCCAGCCCCTGTCAAGGAGGCACAGTGGGGGAGGGGGGTTCGAACTCGCAACCTCTGGCTCTGCAGCCAGAGACCTAAAACTCTGAGCTATCCAGTTCCTTGAACCCATGCCTACAAGAGAGCCACCGTGCCCTGGCTCAGGGGACCTGGATTCAAATCCTCCGTGCGGATAGGAAGCTTCCTACGAGGTTGTCGCTCACTCCGGTGTTGTTGTGATGGTTACACAATGTAGAGGGCAGTCCAGGGTCTGATCGTTAACCCCCTTTGAATGGGAAACAAATCCCACCACCCACTTTTCCCCGGAGAACCGCAGGGAAAGAAAAAGCCCCCCCCTCGGTCCGTTGGTTGTCGTCCGTTTTAGCCCGGCTGGTCCCCGTCGGTGGCTGCCAGGTGCAAAAAAAGGAGGGTTTCCTGTTTACGGGGATTCGGTCGGTTCCGGACGTGTTCTAGGGTTGTGAGGGGAAGCGCTTCCGGCGGGGAGCGGGGCGCAGAGGGGGCCTCTCTGCTCACTCCCTGGTGGGTGCGCCGTCGTGCTGCAGCTGTGGCACCGGTGGTCTCCCGTCTCCCATGCGCCCCCCCCTTCTTTCTCTTCTTGGAAGGCTCAAAGCATTTTGCAAAGCTGGGGGCTTCCTCTAATGGAAGCAATTCCTTGCCCCCCGCGCAAGGTTTGGGGGAAGGTGCAAGAGCACAGCTCTTTCATTGTGAATAGGTCTGAGTGCGTCCTTCCCCCCCCCACTTTCCCCAGGATCTGGTGGGTTTAAGACGGGTCCAAAACCGGTCCATCACTGCGCTGTGTGGACGGGTCCCCCTTGCATGGATGGACGGATGAATATATCATGCAAGACGGGGCTGCATTTCTTTGGGGGAGGAAATTAAATAGTGGGGGGGGAGGGAGAGACTGAGGCCCTCTGGATGAAGACCATCGCAAGGGCCTTGCGTAGAATCCCCCCCACCCACACCCACCCCCAGGCCGCCCTTGGGACGCTTCGAAGGCGAAGCGGCCAACAAGCCATAATCAACCCTCATTTGCCATAATTTTATGGTGGGGCCAAGCTGAGATGAGGTAGCGTCTTGCTTGCCCCTCACGACGGCTTCTGTCTTTTGCACATCGTTTAATTAAAGACAGGCAGAGGGAACAGCCGTGCACTGTCTTTAGGGTTGGTGATGCTAGAAGAGTTTACATTTTGGTGTTTTTTTTTCAAGGTTAATATCTTGTGTGTTTTTTTCACCCCTCAATAAGCTCAACCTGGCTCTTCTCCTCCTCCGCCCCCCTTGGGAGGTAGGCCAGACCCTGAGAGAGAAGGCTGGTCCCAAGGTCGACCTGTGTCAGCTGGGGGTGGGTTTGGATCCAGGGTCTCTCGTGCAAACGTGCCTCCTAACACTTTGTAACATGGAGAGAAGGCAGGATTCTCGGGGAAAGGCCGTCCTGCTGGGAAAAGCGGAAGGGCAGCAGGAAAGGAGGAAGACCCCATACAAGAGGGATAGACTCCCTCAAGGAAAGCCAAAGGGTTGAGCTTGCAAGCGCTGAGCAGGGCTGTTGAGGGACAGGACATGCCGGGAATCGCTCCTTTGTGGGGTCACCCAGAGTCCGAGGCAACAGGGTGGCCGAGACGATGCAAAATGGAACAAGGAATAGAGCTGGAAGATGAGAGTCTTAAGGCAGGGGGAAAGCAAGGGACCCTTTGGAGAGCATTCATTCATGGGGTGGCCACGCGTCAACCTGACGGCACAGAACAACAGCACCTGGACAGGAAGAGGGTGAAAGCATCCTGAGGGTGGGGACGCTGGTTGTTGTAGTACAGAAAAGAGGATTTTCTGATCTCAGGAAAAGAAATGGGAGGTTTGTGTGTCTTTGGGTTTGGGTGGTGCTGCGTTCCCCTGGCGCTCTCAAACCCACGAGCTCTCTCGCTCTCTCTCGTGCATGCGTGCAAAGTGCTCTCTTTTGGAAATGCGGAGCCATCCGGATCTTTGCTTTCAGAGGGCTCAGGTGGGGAAATAAGTGATTCCCTCCCCCCCCCACATGCGCGCCCTGCAGCAGCGCACGGAAGGCTTTTGAAAAGGCAGCTGGAGCCGCCTGCCTCCCTGGCTGGATCTGCCTTCTTGGAAAAAGAGAAAACCTGAAGGCTTTTGAAAAGGCAGCTGGAGCCGCCCGCCTCCCTGGCTGGGTCCGCCTTCTTGGGAAAAGAGAAAACCCGAGTTCTCTCGGTTTTATTTCCCCCCCGCTTTCCCTGGCACAGAGGGTGGCCGTCCTCCTGGATGAAGGGTGGAAAAGGAGTTGGTGGCTGGGAGAAAGCCCCCCCCCCAAAAAAATTCTGCAGAGGCATGGCGTTTGCAGCCAAACCATCCCATAATACATCTGCCACTCTTCCAAAGTGTTCCCAGCCATCCATATCAAGGGATGGTGCCTATAAGGACATGTGGAGGATTTTTTTGGGGGGGGGGAGCTTTATAATCTCTGGTGGTTTTGTCGAGAAACAGGAAGCTTGTCATAAGGAGCAAAACAAGCAGTGCGCCAGCCCTTTCTCGTGTTAGCAGCATTCATTAAATAGCCCTAAATCTTGTAAAACCTATTTAGGAACAACAACAACAACAACAAAAAAGAATTAAACAGATAAAGGTGAAGTATTAAACCTGGTCCCTGCAGTTTGTAAACTAGCATCTCAGGGTTTAAAGATCAGGATAGTCTTTTTTTTTTCCTGAGAAGCTAGGCTTCTGTTGGCAAGGACAACTGCGCCTAATTTTTTTTTTGGTGGGGGTGGATGATGAACACCCTGTAATAAGGGAAACTGAGCTAAGCAATATGTTTTACAGATAAAGGTGAAGTATTAAACCTGGTCCCTGCAGTTTGTAAACTAGCATCTCAGGGTTTAAAGATCAGGATAGTCTTTTTTTTTTCCTGAGAAGCTAGGCTTCTGTTGGCAAGGACAACTGCGCCTAATTTTTTTTTTGGTGGGGGTGGATGATGAACACCCTGTAATAAGGGAAACTGAGCTAAGCAATATGTTTTAATATATATTTTTTCTTTCTCTCTCTCTCTCTCCTTTTGTTATTATAGGTTTCCTTTTCTTAAAAAAAACACAAAAAGACGCACAGCGCCTCCCTTCTCGTCTGTGGATCAGGACTGCCGTCCGGAGTAAACCATGAACTGAAGAAGCTGCCACAAGGGCATTTCCGACTTCGAATCTTTCCTTCTTTGTAATTTTCTCCTTGATATTTTTATTTTTTGTGCGTGTGCTCTGAAGAAGACTCGTTCCGGATGACCGCGCCTTGAAAGGGGGGGAAAAAAAAACACACCAAGGCTTTGCCACTTTGTTTTGGAAATTTAGAAACAGTAACAGCAACAACAATAACAACAACAAGGATCGTAATAACTCACCCCCAGACCTTGAGGATCTTGCGAAAACATGGGGCGGAAAAAGATCCAGATCCAGCGGATTACGGACGAAAGGAACCGGCAGGTCAGTGCCGTGAATCGGGGCCCCTTTTGGAGGAGGGAGGCCCTTCCTCTCTCAGCTGACCCTGAAAAATTCAGCTACTTCCCTATAAAGTCCAACGTGGAGCACATGTGGGTTTTAATTTTCTTGGCCGGAAAACGGGGAGGTCTGGACTTTTTCCTCCTTCCTTCCTTCCCTCCTTCCTATCCGCCCCCCCCACTTTGTCATCACAATGACCCTGCGAGGTAGGCCCAGGATGGGAGGGAGGGAGGAAGGGGCCCGAAAGCACACCTTTGCAGAAGAGCGCAAAAATTCGGTGGCCCAAGAGAAGACCGCCTCCTCCTTATGCCTGATTTCACTCCCAGTGCTGGAGGGAGGAGCGGTCATATAAACCGAACTTTTGAATCGCACGAAGGCGGTAGCTAAGAAAGGGTGCCTGCCGTTAACCAGGGACAGACAGAGAGCGGGTCCCCCCTGCCCTCCGTGGTGCTGGGGGGGGGTTCCGGATCTCCCCATTCACCTGCAAATGCTTTGTGTTTTTTTAATGGCTCCTTGCCCCCCCCCCCCCCCCCCGAGAACATGGAACTTAAATCCTCCTTTTACCCCTAGTGCCTTTGAGCCCTGACTGCGTTACAGCCTCCCCAGAAGTAACAAGTTAAAGGGTCTCGTTACATCTTCCTGGAACCGCTTGCTTCCAGATTCCTTCCAGGGGAAGCAGCCGTGGGCTTTTGGAAATCCCGGAGACCTTTAAGGAAAGACCACTTTCTGTTAGGTGTGAGAACACACACACACAAACACCCCCATGCACGCAAGCGCTTCCCTGTCCAGGCTTGGATCTGAGGTCCCTGGCATTCAGCTTCTAGCAAAGGGGCTTGTTTTGTTCCAGAGATCGCCTACACTTCAGGGAAGCGCCCCCAAGGTTGCCAGGTCTTAATGTTAACTGGTCGTGACAGGTGGCCTAGTTCGGGCGCCCAGCGGCCCTGGCAGGGCTCTCTGTCCTCTTGGCAGCTGGCCCCTCGACGCAGGCGGAGGCCGCTCGGGTAAACACCTGAGCGAAGTGCAAATCCCATTACGAGAACGAACAGGGAGCCCTCCTCCTCCTCACCTGCCCTCCGGTTGGCACAAGGGGAGGGCGGGCAGGCGGGCAGGCGGGCAGGAGGAAGGAGGAGCCGCGCCCACACGTGGAAAGGCAAGCTTCCATGTTGGGTGCAGGCAGGCCACGGGCGCGTCACTGGGGGGCAGGGGAGAGAGAAGCCTGGGCAGAAGAGGACCCTGGTGTGCATAGAAGTGCACGCACTGGTTCAACTGGGATGCAAAACTGGAGGTGCATTTGAGGATGGGAGCATCTTCGTGGTCCCGCGCACCTGAGGGCTGGAAGACCAGCAGCTGAGTCAGCTGGGCCGCCAAGCCCTTTCGGTAGAAAACAACTTTGGGAGAAAACAAAAACCAGGATTGTTCCAGGGGGGTCCTTGAAACAGAGGCGTGGCAAAAGGAGGCATCTGGCTGCTTGGGGTGTGTGTGTGTGCCTGCCAGATGGGCCAGGGATCCGTTTCAGTCACGTGTGGTCCACGCCGTGGCTTCCAGGCCTGATGTGACAGGAACCGTCCTGCTGAAACTCTGCAGGTCAGGAGCTGTGCTGTTCCTTGATTCAAAAGGCCTCGTTGATCAGGGATGCTGGAGCCAGGGGGTTGGGCTAGATGGCCTCAGGGTGACCCCTCCAAGCCAATGTGTCTCTGGAATGGGAAACTATAAATTCTGTGATTTCCTTTCGGCTCCGCTGCGCCCCTCCGCTTCTTGGCAACAGCTCCGCCCCTCCTCCATTCCGACGCCCCTTTTCCAAGCTGGATCCGGCCTCGGTTTCCATTGGAACACTTTCCCTGTTCCTTGCTGGAACCATCATCGGAGAGGCCGGTTCACCTCGTTAAAAGATTTACTGCTCCGGCTTTGCAGGGGAAGGAGAAGACGCTCCCGGTTGCTCCCAAGGGTTCATGTGTTTCTAAGACGAGCAAGAAATTACCCAGGCAATGTTTGTAAGAGGTCCGGGGCAGTCAGGTGTGTGTGTGTGTGTGTGCGGAGAACATGCTTCAGTCCTGGGGATGGTGCTTGGCAGGCAGTTGGGGGCTGTGTGTGTGTGTGTGTGCATGTGCGTGTGCGCATGTGCGTGTGTATGTGTGTGTGGAGGGCATGCTTCAGTCCAGGGGATGGTGCTTGGCAGGCAGTCGGGGGCCACATCCTGCCTGATGCCAAAGACCAGATCCTTCCTACGGGCTCTTAGGAGTTGTAATGAGGGCAAGGAAAGTAGGTTTGCAACCCGCTGGAGATTCGCGAGAGCTCCATTCGGATCCAGAATCCTTCCGGAAGGGAAACTATGGCTCTCCTCCGTGCCAGAGCACGGGGCCAAGATGACGGCCCGTTTTCCATCTCTTGTCCTCAAGCTGCTGTGTGCATTCATGTTTTTGCAAAAGGGCAGAGGGCTTCCTTCAAGGGAGGGCCCCGGATCAAGAGGCTGCGTGGATTTGCACACAACAGAGGAGAGGATGGCCAACCGGTCGGCCGGCTTGTGGTGCTTTCATGCTCCTGGCGTGGAAGTTCCGTGGGATGACGGAGGACGTGGCTGCAAGGCGTTGTTTGGGAAAATCTTGCAATGGACCTCTTCCCTCTTCTGGGGCTTTGACACAAAGGCCCCCGTCAGCCCCGGTCCGACAAGGGGGCCAAAATGCACTTACTGACCTTCGGCACCTTTCCTAGGGGCTTGTCCGGGCGGTTTTCTCGAAAAGGCTTGATCGGCAGCACAGGACGGTGGAAGGGGCAGCCACGGAAGGGAGCAAGCCCTCCTTCCTTGTTTAAGCGAAGGCCAAACCCCTTCAGGGGTGTTTTTAGCTGGCGCTTTCCTGCATGACCCCCCCAGGGTTTAGGGTTTGATTGTCTTTGGTGCACCTCTCTGTGTTTTCTGCCGTGCTCTGTTTTGCAAAAGCCTTGGGAGGCTTTGAAGAGGCAAGCGGGCCAGCGCAAGCCCGAGGCCCCGTGGGGATTTGCCTGCAAGGGAGGGGGAGATCTTGGAATAACCCCTTAATGGCATTACAAGGATTTGACCCTGTGGATCTGCTCGTGGCGGCCGCTGTGGTCCCGTGTCTTCCCGGTGCCGCCCGGCCTGGGAAAGCGGCCGTCCCCTGAACGTGGCGTCAGAAGGGAGCCCGAAATCCTCCCTCCGTCGGCCGGGGCAGTAATTCTGTCCCTCCTCAGAGCAGCTTAGGGCCCTCGAGAAGGAGATTGGCTGGACTGCTTAAGGCTTAAAAGGTTAATGCTGCTGGATGAGGGCGAGGAAGAAGCCCGGATAAAGCCTCCCCTGGTCCTGAGGGGACAGAGAGAGAAAGGCCTTCTGTCTCTTTTACACACAAACCCACCAGCGTCCCAAAGAAAAAAAACACAGGCAAAAACAGGGCTGTCGTTCTGTAAACTGGAAGGATCTCCTCCTCCCCCCCCCACCCACCTCTTGGGTGAATCACGGTCTAGGGTGGATTCTGGGAGCACAAAATTTGCCTCCCCCCCCCAGAACTTCCAAATTTCTCCAACTGGAAATTGGGGGTTTTATGGGAAATGGAGATACTTCCCCCCCCCTTTGGCTCCACTTCAGCTGCCTTCTAGTTCTGGGGTATAAATGGAGGATTATGGGGCTTGTAGTTGAGTAAACTTTACAGGTTGCTCCTCGCAGGGGCTTCCCTTAGGCTTTCTACCCCAAATGGCAAGGGTTGTAAGGGGACCCTTAGGATCATCTAGTCTGACCCCCCTGCCGGACAAGACCGAGGTGCTCCTCGGTCGGTAGGGCTGTGGAGCCAGGAATGGTTTGCAGGCGGATAGATTCATGAGTCAATCACGGTGGTGAATTTTTAGGCCTGTAGCTCTTACCATTTTGAAGTAAGGAGCCCATAATTCCCTGAATCTCTGAGTTAATTTGTTTATAACTACAATGCCCAGAATCCCCCAGACAGCTTGGCTCAATCAGAAATGTCCTGTTTCTAGCTCTGTTTGTCTAAGCGTGAGAGGACTCCAGGTCCCAGAATCCCCAGACAAGTGGCTAGGCAGGAGATGAGCCACCCAGGTATTTAAAGCAGATAATACCCGTGCAAAAATGTTGCATTTCTGGTGCATGTTGTTTTGGAAATATTTATAGATCAAGAAAGAAGCAAACCTTCAGCTGTCTTTATAAAATAAATTTTCGTGGAGCGCTGCCAAGAACCATCCCTTCAGAGGCCCGGACTCGGAGCCAGGAGACTTTGGGCTGCCTCTGGTCCCTACCTGGCTTACCTCGAAGGACAGAAAATAAAGGGGGGGGGGGGGGGAGGAGAAGATCCACGTAGCAAGGGTGGGATTAAAATGGTGACTAAATAAGGCTGAAACGGCCACCAGGACAGTGAAATTTGGCTGCCGGGCCCCCGAGAAAGGCAGCAGGCCCACCATGGGGCAGAAAGCCCCAGGACAGAGGGGCGCTTGGAGGCCCTGAGGCACAGTGGTTAGAGCATCTGTAGCGGTCTTGGGATATCCAAATTCAAGTCACCATGGAGCAATGAAATGGGGCGAGTTATTCCCACTTGAGCTGAGTCTGCTTTGCAAAGTCGCCATGAAAAGGGTAAAATATTATGTGGGTTTTTATGGGAAAACCCTGTTTGCCACCTGCAGCTCCTCTGAGAAAAGGCCAGGTTGCCATGTAGCCAACGTTTTATTCATCATCGTCGTTGTCGTCGTCGTTGTTGTCGTCGTGACCCAGAAGGTCATGATCTGGAGGGAGCCCGCGACCTCAAAAATGATCCCAAGGTTTTCGTCTAAGGAAGAGCTGCTGGGGGGGTGGGGGTGGAATAAGAATGAGTCGGAGCCACAGAGACGCGTCACAGCCGGTCTCCGGGGAGGTTCGGTTCCCCGGCCCTCCAGGTGTGTCCTTTGGGGAACCCGTATGGGCTCCAGAACCTTGTGGGGCGATGGATTTGCATCTCTGGGTCTCAAGGCACGGAGGAGAACCTCAAGGCGAG